TTTTTTTTCTTAAACAAAATGTAAACATCTTTACTACGACACCCTGAACACAAATAAATAAGTATACAATATGGTTTGTCATGTCACATGTTTATATCCACACCAAAAAGTAATCATCTTTTTTTTTTTTAAACAAAATGTAAAAATCTTTACTACTACGACACCCTGAACACAAATAAATAAGTATACAATATGGTTTGTCATGTCACATGTTTATATCCACACCAAAAAGTAATCATCTTTTTTTTTTTTAAACAAAATGTAAACATCTTTACTACTTGAGGATATATATATATATATATATATATATATATATATATATATATATATGGAAAAATATTTCTGCAGCCACTTTAGATAAAGTTGTCTACAACTACACCTTTTTTCACTAAGTATGACCGGTCATACTTTAAAATTGCATTTTCTCTCTCGGCCACGTCAGCCGACAGTATCTGAGGAAAGAGAAAAAAAGAACAGTTTTATTGTTATAACTACGTATGACCGGTCATACCTAGTTAAAAAGGTGTAGCTGTAGATAGCCTTATTTAAAGCGGCTATAAAAATATTTTTCTCATATATATATATGGGCAGGATATTTTTACATCGGTGTAAGAGTTAGAAGTGTTACACCTAATCTTGACCATTGATCCACTTGTATCTAATGGCTCACATTACTAAAAAATTACAACCCTTAGATATAAGTGGGATCAACGGACAAGATTGAGAGTGTAACTTACACTGGTGCAAAATGATCCTGACCCATATATATATATATATATATATATATATATATATATATATATATATATGTAGGATCCTTTGACACCGGTGTCAAATTTCAATTTTGACACCTCATCTCAGAACCATTAGATAAAAAAAAATCAATGACTCTGATTTGCAAGCATGTGACACCATTGATCTTTTTTGATCTAACGACTTTGAGATGAGGTGTCAAAATTGAAATTTGACACCGGTGACACCGGTGTCAAATTTAAAGTTTGATATCTCATCTGAGAGCCATTAGATCAAAAAAGATAAACGACTCTGATTTGTAAGCATGTGACACCACTGATCTTTTTTAATCTAATGTCTCTCAGATGAGGTGTCAAATTTTGAATTTGATACTGATGTCAAAGGATCTTACCTATATATATATATATATATATATATATCAACTTACCGTTAGATTAAAATTTCAACTAGCCTTTACATTTTCTTTCTCCTTTTGAGATTTTTGTCTAACAATATTAAAAATAAATAAGTAAAATAAGCATATAAAAAATAGGCATAATATCATATCCCTTAAACATAAACATAGTCATGGAGTTAAAATACCTAAACCATCCCCGGCTCAAAGCCTCTAGTACACCCTATCTCATAACTTGTATCACTTATTCTTTATTTTATAACTTGCTTTTCAAACAAATTTCATTCGTCTCCAAGACTCACTAGTTTCTAAATTTTCCAAACACTAACGGATTTATAATATCTTCAATTTAGATTCTTTAAACCTCCAAAATTATACTTAGTATGGATAAACATCAAATTTTTATGAAGATGCATGCATGAGCCAAAATCCTAACACATGATATATATCCAATTAGAAAGCTATAAAAAGACAATTATCCATATATATTAAGTATTTGAGTTGACTTGATTCTTTATATGGTATCAGAGCCTCTGTGTCATTGGTTCTGTTGAGATATATAAAATTATTAAAAAAGCCCTCACCCACTAGCTTAAGCTTTTGGGTTGAATTGGTTCTTTACATGGTATCAGAGCCTCGATGTACCGGGTTTGATCCTCATCGCCTCCCACTTTCTTTGTAGTGGAATTTCTTTTTTCGCACAGGTAGGTGGGCCTGTGTATTATCCACCCTTCAAGCCTAGTGGGCACTTGTGTGAGGGGGCGTGTTGAGATATATAAAACTATTAAAAAAAGCCCTCACCCACTAGCTTAAGCTTTTGAGTTGAATTGGTTCTTTACAGGTTCGATTCTTACCACCCCACTTTCTTCACAGGTAAGTGAGTTTGTGTATTGTCCGCTTTTTAAATCCAGTGGACTCTCATAAGATATATAAAAACCATTAATGTAGTCTCGTATGTTGATCTTGATATTTTGGCAGTATGAAAAATTAAGTACAAGTATGCGAGGCACCTATATATAATGCCTTTACAAGAATTTAAAGTAATTGAAAATACAAAACAAAAGCTATAACTAAATGTGAACTAAAACTAATTTCTAACTACTTGATCGCTATGACCACTAGTGCAGTTTTGTTGCGTGGATGCAATTGTATTTACTGGTGCAGCTTTAATGGCTTTTGCTATATGTGCTGATAATTAAGTCTTCGTCAATTTGTTTTAAACAATTTTATCAGTTTAACTAACCACATTTGAATCTAGTATTTTACTAGGGTATCAACGTTATACTATATAAGAATGGGCTCATCATATGTTCCTTCTAAGAAAGCTAAACGCAGAAAATGATACATATATGATCAATTATAAATTTGAATCTAGTATTTCGTTAGGATATCTAACATTAAAGAAATATAAGAAGGATTTGATCTTTGTCATTTTAAATGACATAAGTTATGTCATTTTAAGAAAGAGATAGACACAAGAAATGAAAATCATGAGAGAGAAAGTGAGTAGTTTTTTTTAATTTAAATTTTAAATAAAAAAATATTTTTTTGTGTCTATGTCTCTCTTAAAATAACATTATTTTATGTCATTTAAAATGACAAATACTTATGTACCAAAAAAAAAAAATGACAAATATTTTTCTCATATAAGAATGTATCCTTCTAAGAAAGCTAAAAACAGAGAATGACACATATACTTTCTATTTGCAATTTGTTTTAAACAATTATATATGTTTAGGAAAACAGATTTGAATTTAATATCTTGTTAAAGTATCTAACATCAAAGAATATATAAGATTGAGTCCTTTATGATATGTTCCTTTATCATGAGTTGCATGTGACAAACTGGATTTCGCAAAATATTATTATCTATATATTGTTACGTACACATTATGTATGCCAAACGAAATTCGTATCCATATAAACCTTGCTTGTAATGAATGAAGTTACAACGAAGTTTCATATTTAAGTATATCAAACAGATGAAGTTTCACCCACAATGGATTGATTGTAAAGATAAATGTTTTTGCGCTAAGGAGAATAATATTTTGAGTTTTGAAGACTTGCTCAAGGAAAAAGCCTAACCGTGATACTTTATATCCCAAAAAAAATTAATTTCAAAGTAAAAAAAAAAAAAAATGAAATCAATTTCATGTTTAAAAAGTGTAGAAGTATCCTAAAAAGTCCAAAAAAACAATATTAAAATAATCTCATCCTCAGTTTCTCAAAATGATGATCATATATGTAACAACAATTTTTTTTTATTTCTGTATCAATTCATCAATTATCCTATTAATTTGGTTTGAATCGGGCATGAGTGCATGACTACAAAAATAAAAAATTCTCCTTATCAAATTTTTAAATTGAATATTCATATAAAATACCTATATATACTCGAATTCCATGGATGCAAATGCAAGCTAGCTAGTGAGCATTACAACCTGATGGAAAATTGTAATATCCAAAGTAAGGGTGTTTGCGGGGATCATTGGGAGCTGATTAACTAAAATGAATGAGATGTCTGTGGTTTGTTTAAAAAAAAAAAAAATGTTGAGTTGAAATTAAAAAATATTCGAAATCGAGATTCATCAGTCCTAGCATATTGAAAACACTAAGCATTCTGATTTCTGAACATTGGAGATTTCTTGAATGTACTAAATATTAATTATTTTCTCACTCAAATTATTTATAATGAAAATAATTTATTTTGGTCTAACTTTCAGATTAAATGTGAAAAAATGATAAGCTTGGAGCATGATAAAACTGTTTTTTTTTTTAAAAGTCAGGGGTTCAAATCCGAAAAATAGTCTCTTTGCAGTATATAAAGGTAAGACTGCATAAGCTCACCCCACCCTCGCTAGTCGGATTTAAAGGAAGTCATTTTTTTATATTAAATGTGAGTAGCATTATTTGATTTAATCTTAATTAGGGCTTAATTTTTTACCCCAAAGATTATATTTAAATCTTATTGAACACATTGATGCTAAGCTAATTAATGAAAAGATATATTCACAAATTTTTTATTACAAATAAATGGAATATTTTTAAAAGATTAAAAATTTTATATACTTGGTAAAAAATGAAGTAATTAACAGTGAAATAATTTTTTTTGTGATTTGTAAATTAAAATTTATACCATAACAATACAAAAAAAGGGTAAAAAGTAAATGTAAGATAGTAACAGATAAAAGCAAATAAACAACACGAAAAACAACAGCAAAACAATGTAATGATTTTTATGTTAATTTCTGGATAGTGCGATTTTAGCGATTCACGAATTCCATAATTTCTTTTCTTTATGCAGAAGGAAACTACTTATTATAAGAATATCAAATGATCTTATATGAAGCAAGCTTGTTGGATAGACACAAATAAAGACAAAGAAACAAAGATGCAAAAGTTATTTTTGGATATATTTAATAATAGTTATAATTAATGAAATTAAAAGGAATGAAATGAAACAAAATTATTATGATGAAATATTATAAAAAAGGATAAGAAAAGCATAATAGGAAAGCAATCCTATTATTCATACTGTGTGTGAAAGCAATCGTATGAGTTTCCGTCATAGGCCAATACCAAAAATAACTATATTTTTTAAGGCCACAACGCTCCACTAACAAAGACAACATTCTTTTATGCAATAACTCTTCCCATTCACACTCTTCCACTCCTATCCTCATCACATTCACATCATTAGCTGTCTCTCTAACCTTCTTCCCAATTTTCCCTCCTTCATTTCCTCTATATATACTCCTTAAAACTCTCTCACTCTATATTTTACCTATCTCATTTTCTATTGCAAAATTGAATAGATCTTCTCTCTTTTTATTTCATTCTCTATCTTTACACCATGGCCTTGAGAAGAGGCAATATTCTTATATTACAAGTGATGGCATTATTTCAGATTCAGATATGCATGTCAGAGATTAAAAGGACAGACTTTCCAAATGGCTTTATATTTGGCACTGCCTCTTCAGCGTTTCAGGTTCCTCTACCTACCTACCTACTCATCATTGAACTACCAACACTATGTTTTTTTGTTTTGTTTTGTTTTTTTCACTTTCAGTTTCAGTTTCAGGCCATGGAAGAAATTTTCTGAATTTTTTTTAAATTATTATACACATATTTATAATAATTTGTTTTGGTTTGCATTTTTCTGTTCGATAAAAGAAAAGCAAAAACTTGATATATAAGTGTCTTTACTCTTTTGCTTTTGTTGGGTGAATGCACATTTAGATGCTTTTCTTTCGCCACACGAACAAGCGGTTACCGCAAATGAATGAGAGATAATAAAAAACGAGTTTATCAAATAAAAATAAAAAAAACCAGAATATAAGTAATTAATTTGGTCAATACCAACACCCACTGAGGGTGAGGTTGAGTTACTGTACTTCTTCATGATAATTAATACCTATGTGTTCTGTGTTGACTTTTGGGTTTTTTTTTTTTTTTTTTGAGTCTACAAAACAAAGGGCTAGTTAGAAACTTTTTTCCTTTTAAAGAAAATTTGTTTACTTAAATTAGTGATTAAAAACATGAGGGTAAATCTCATTAATCATTACTGTTGCATGAAACTCATTAAACATTGATATCCAAAAACCAAATCAATAAAAGAAGAATGAAATCTGATGCCAACCGTGTGTTTTATGTGATGTTCATGCTTTGTAATTGTGGCCTATGGATACCAGAAGTAGTTGTGAAACCATTCAATTTTCTGTCCATATGCTGAAGATATCACTGAGTGTTGTTGGGTTAGATATCCACTGAACCCATGAGGGTAAAATCAAAATCAACTCATAAATAACTTAGATCCAATAAATGTTATCAGAATGTATTAATTGGGAGATTCTTGATCCGCCAGTTTTAATTATAATTTATTTTTAAGTTAAATGGATAGTTATTTAACCTATTTTCTTTTTTGTCTATCTTTGCCTATCATTCTCTAATACTGTTAGATCATAATCTCAAAAGGAAAGAGAAAAATAAAAATTAATTGAAATTCTAATCTATCAGTGTTTTAAAGTGATAGATAAAAATAAACATATAAAGAGATATATAAAATAACATATCTCATCTTTTAATACTACCATAAAGTGATATAATATATTATCATAATAAATAATGAGGATTACATGAAAAAGACAAAGTACTTAATAATTGAGATTCAATCAGGCCAGGGCCTTTGGCTTCACCGACATATGGAAATGGTTTCCATGATAAAGTTTGTATTATCTTTTTTTATATAAATTTTTATAAATTATCATGAAACCTCACCTCTTATATATATATATAGAGGCAGGATACTTTGACACCGGTATCAAATTTGAAGTTTGACACCTCATCTGAGAGTCTTTAGATCTAAAAATAACCACGACTCTGATTTATAAGCATGTGACACCATTGATCCTTTTCAATCTAACGGCTCTCAGATGAGGTGTCAAACTTAAAATTTGACACCGGTGTCAAATGATCCTATCTCATATATATATATATATATGAAAAAATATAAATATAAAATTTAACATTTTTTATAAGCATTTAGAAATTTTAATAAAATCACGTTGCTTTTAAAAAAATACATAAAATATATACTCTTGTTCTTGTTTCCATGAAATATTCTAACTAATTCTTTATTTTCGTGTTCCACTCTTCACTTTTAAATCAATAGTTAAAAATGCTCTTGGAAAAAGAAAAGAAAAAATGGTCTTGGATTCCTCCGTGAATACGAATGAATTTCTCTGACAATGAATCTTAAACTATCTTTATTTATTCGTCGGACGGTGCGGGGCACTTCTTTTTAGGCAATTTATGGGAACATAAAACATTATATTTAGTACCAAAGAAAAACAACCTTTTACTTTCTGATTGAGATAAATGTTACAACAATAATCTACGCATTCCCTCTCGCGGATTTTATATTAATCGAATCTCATCCGTTATTTTCGGAGTAGATTCTCATTCTCTCATATTAAAATGTCATATTAGTTATTAATTTAAAATTTTTGTATTTATTTCTGTCTTCACATATATTAAATGAATAAATTCAAATATTAAATATTATTAATGATAAAAGAGATAGAGAGAACCCAATGGGTGCAGCTCAGTTGGTACTTTGGCACTGAGTTAGTGGGGTTGGATATGTGTTCGATTCCCGCTGAATGCATTCTTGGGGAGGGTGCTGAACCTTTAGCCATCACTGTTCCCCCGCACTCCGGATTAGTCTCATAGCCGGCTCAAAGAGTCGAAGCTCATGGGGATACTGGAGAGAGTCAACTCGTCTAAAAGAGATAATTAGAGTTGGATAACTTCAAAAAAAAAAAAAAAAAAAAGATAGACAGAGAAATTTCACATTATTTTTTATGTAAAATTTTAATATGAAAAGATTCATTCCCGATGTTTTCTTTCTCTGTCTGACATTTTTTTCCATCATTAACTGTTTTTCTTGTTTTTCTGTATGTCCATCGTTATAGAACATGTTATTTTTAACGGTTTCTTTAAATATTATTGATGATGTTAAGAATAATTCAGAATATTATTTACTAAAAATAGGATTAAAATTGTTGAGAAGTGTGGAGGTTTAAAATAAAATGAAAAGGTAAATCAAGTCAATTGATTCTCTAATCATTGTGAATTTGGTTTACATATATTTAACTTTTATGATTTTGTCTTGTTTGAACAAATCATATAATTATTCATATGTGATTTAAATAATATCGTTGACTTTTGTATAGTATGAAGGAGCAGTGAAAGAAGACGGAAGGGGACCATCTGTGTGGGATACATTTTCACATACTTTTGGTAAGATACTATGAGAGCATATTCATATATAACTCATCATTTAAGTTTAATTGCTGTTAATAATTTCTTAAGATTATACTCAATTATCCATTTCGATTGGCCTTCCTGTTACATAACTGTCTCAATTGAATTCACAAACAAATGAGATTAATGTCTAGTAATACACTTCAGTTAAAGCATTTCTTTGATGTGAGTTTCAAGAACGTGAGTATCATTAACAGCGCCAAAATTATATAGCGTGGAATTTGGCTCTATGAGAGATTCATATAAAGGGGAAAAAGAAGAAGAGAAGGGGTCTGAACCACTAATTGGTACATTTCAATTGTGTATCAAGACCAACTAAGGGTCTGGACTGAGTTAGGCTTCAATGAATCATCATTATTCTTTTCAATTAGAATTCATTTAGTTTTCATGAAATGGCATGGCTCTATTAAAAAGTTACAATGTAGATCTTACTATGATCATTTGCCATATAAAATACCATATATGGAAGTAAGTATGCATGCATGAATCAATGAAGTGAATAACCAAATATGGTTTGGATGTTCCGAGGAAATTAGCGTTTTCTCATAGAAATCCAGATTTGATTGACTGTTTTGTTATTTGTCTACCCCCGTAAAGAACCTTGGGCCTCGCCGCCCCACTTTCTCTTGTGGCGTTTCTTAGCACAGGTAGGCTGGGCCTGTTGCATTGTCCACTCTTCAAGCCCAATGGGCTCTTGTGTGAGGGAGCGTGTTGAGATATATAGTCCTACATTGGTTGTATGTGCAACTAATGTGGAGTTTATAAGGCCTTGGGCACTCCCACCCTTTGAGCTAGCTTTTGGGGTGGTGTATCCCAAGGTTCTTTACAACCCCAAGGCATATCTATTTTATACCATTTTACTCATTAGATGTTATTTAGGAATTAATTCTTTGGTATATCAAATTCTTCGGAAGCATGAAAATTTTTATGTACTAAACTGCTGGCTGATCATTACTTTACATTTTGTTACAGGCAAGATAACAGATTTCAGTAATGCTGATGTTGCGGTGGATCAGTACCACCGATACGAAGTATGTAATGATGGGTACAGATAAAAAAATTGGAACCTGTTATCCAATTTGCAGCTTGCTATATATATATAACTTTTGTTATCTGCCAGCAAAATCTTTCTGTCTTTTGTTTGTTTTTTATTTTCATTTTTTGATACATTGTGAAGTTATTTGATCCTAGGACCTCTACCCTAGTGACCTTGCTCCTTTTATTAAAAGAAAATGTTATATTTACAAACTTTTTGTTTACAAACTATACTATGTCTGACCGGTAATACATTATTGAGTAGAGTATTACCAGTCAGACATAGTGTAATTTGTAAGTTTGTAACAAAAAATTTTGTAAACGGATACTTCCCCTCTAATATTATGTAAAATTGATTAACTTGCACTCTTCAAATGTAATGGCTTGCTTTAAATGCTCTTTGAAAGCAACTCATTCATAATAAATTCAATTTAGTTATTATTTCAACCCTTGGTCAAAGGTTGTTTGTTTCTGAACATTGAATTGTTTTTTCATGCAGGAAGACATACAACTAATGAAGGACTTGGGGACGGATGCCTATAGATTTTCTATTTCTTGGTCTCGGATTTTTCCCAGTAAGCATTTTTCCTACTTTTTATCTTTAATATAATTAGTAATTGGTTTAATGCTATGTTCTGGCAATGAGTTACTTTGTGTTGTATCCCATAACACAATGGTGCAGTTAATAAGTGTAGAGAGTACTGTGGATCGTCGTTGTAAAATTTAGGAGTATGTATATACTACCGTTTATAGCCCCCCCCCCCCCCCTTTGGGATAACAAACATAAATTATTGCTGCACTCCAAGTTCCAAAAGATCATTGACCCTTTTGAGTGTCTGTTGAATATTTATAGCACAAAAGTTTTGATTGATTAAGTATCCAGTATATTTCTAGCTACTTTGAAAGTTTAAGCTTACGTGTGCATAACTTTTAGAAGATGATCAAATATTCTGAAATCATAAAATTTCATGTGTTAGATGGATCTGGCGAAATCAATCAGGCAGGAATTGATCATTATAATAAACTCATCAACGCATTACTGGCCAAAGGTAGCTCTCATTATCCCTGTGCAATAGTTAAATTTTGTATTTTAGTTGTGAATAAAAAAATAAAATTTCGATCTATGTTTGTGAATTCTGGGTTATATATATAACCTTCAATGCTTCTGATTGCTTGATCCATTACATTTGCAGGAATTGAACCTTATGTGACCCTCTACCACTGGGACTTACCTCAAGCCTTAGAAGACAAGTATACTGGATGGCTCAGCACTGAGATCATGTATAAAATGTTATAGAATGTTATCCATCATATTTAACATGATTTTACAGTATTCTTGTAATTCTGGTAATAAAAAAAATATGCTTATAGTTATATGATACTTGTGTGCTACAGAAAGGACTTTGCAACTTATGCTGAGACATGCTTTCAGAAATTCGGGGACAGGGTGAAGCATTGGATAACATTTAATGAGCCTCATACATTTGCCACACAAGGATATGATGTTGGTCTACAGGCACCTGGACGGTGCTCCATTCTCCTTCACCTGTTTTGTAGGGCAGGGAACTCAGCAACTGAACCTTACATTGTTGCTCACAATGTCCTGCGTTCTCATGCAGCAGTAGCAGATATTTATAGGAAAAAATACAAGGTAATGTTATGGATATTGTGAAGACTTAAAGTTGAAATATTATGAAGAAAGCAATACAATGAATCAGTTTTGAGAACTAGGTAGAACCTTCTAAAAATTCAAGTTGAATTTCACAAAAGTTGTTCACTGTGTCATTGGTATTAGAGATTTTAATAATCATTATGCTTTTAAAGCTTATGCAAGTATAGATTTGTATCTACTATCTAGTTCGATTCTCCTAGTGCAATGATGTACAGCTCATTAAAAATCCTATATATTACTAACAAATAACTCGGTTATTCCACAGAATACACAGGGTGGATCACTTGGGATAGCTTTTGATGTCATTTGGTTTGAACCAGAAACTAACACCCAAAAAGACATTGAAGCAGCTCAGAGAGCTCAAGATTTTCAGCTGGGCTGGTATGTCATTCACATAGTACCTCATAGATTGAAATTTTCTTATTTTCTATGGAGGGGCATCAATGAATGACTGAATAAGAATAAGAAAGGGATAACCGTTTTCGCTAGAACTTCTATGTAGAAGTTGTATAAAAGACTCACCTTAATAAGGCCTAAAAATTTTCTCCACCTTGTTCACATGTAAAAATGGAAAAAAAAAGAAAAAAAAAATTCATAACTCAAATTGTTAAATGTCTTGATGACAGGTTTCTTGATCCTTTGATGTTTGGAGATTATCCAAGCTCAATGAGGAGTAGAGTAGGAAGCAGGCTTCCAAAATTTTCTCAATCTGAGGCTGCTCTTGTTAAGGGTTCATTAGATTTTGTGGGAATCAATCATTACACCACGTTTTATGCAAGAGACAATTCTACTAATTTAATTGGAACTCTGCTCCATGATTCCATTGCAGACTCCGGTACCATAACCCTTCGTAAGTTTCAGACCAAACATTATCAAGCAATCATTTACTTTTACTTTATCAGAGTGCTTTATGATTTTGCTGTTTTGCAATGCCTCTAAGTCATTATTTTCTTTCCAATTCTTTTCAGCATTCAATGGTACTAAAACTATTGGAGAAAAAGTAAGTCTTTCATAAGTCATGTATTTTTTTGTCTTGTTGAGATGTGACCATAATGTAATGATGACTGATTTACTATTTGCTTTAGAAATAAAACACAATCAGATTGCATTTTGCTACTGAAAGCTAGAGCTTACAATGCTCTAGCGCTCTCTAGCATCACCCAACGTAATTTACCATAGAAAACCAAAATTTGTACTAATGTCATGTTTAATTATAATCAACTCTCCCTTTTACCACATTACCAGAGCCACTTAAAGCATATATCTCAATTGCCTTTATCAGTCAATGCCATAATTTGTAAATTCTTTGCAGGCAAATTCTATATGGTTGTATATTGTGCCACAAGGTATGAGAAGCTTAATGAACTACATCAAACAAAAGTATGGGAACCCTCCCGTCTTTATCACGGAAAATGGTAATCTCCAAACTCTTATAATCTGCCAAAACTCTAGAATGCAATTTAGCAATAAAAAATTTAAGACTAGCATAAATTACATAGTTGATACTAGGTGTTTATGATAAAGTATAGTGTATATTAGCTCCCAGTGATGATGCATAGTAGTATTTTTACAGGGCTATTTATCATGATATGATTTCAAAATTAACTAGTAGAAGTCTAAAATCTTCTCCCTCTAATCCTTGACAGCATAGTTTTTGTTTATGTTTATGTTCTATAACTTGCAATAGAACATTTGTCTTTTTCTCCTTTTTCAGCTAGCCCGTTACTTTAAGTTGTTGGCAAAACAGAATAAATAAAAATGGCAGCAAAGAATGATAGTTACGAGCTAAATCTTCTTTCTTATGTTTGTCACAGGGATGGATGATCCAAATAATCCATTTATCTCCATTAAGGAGGCTCTAAAGGATGAGAAACGGATTAGATACCACAATGGCTATTTATCTTCCTTACTGGCTTCTATGAAGTATGTAATAGTTATTATAATTGGATTTGGATTCTCTCACGTGAAAAATAGTCACGTGGTCATGTTATTTGATTATAACCACTCATTTAAAATCATGTATTTTTCTCCTCTTATCTCATCATCAATGAGTGGTTGTGATCAAATATCGTGACCACATTATAATTTGTTAGTATATTAGAGTGCCAGTAGCATTCCATATCCATTTTTTCAAGTTAATAAACTAATGAAGTACTGATTTGGCTGATTGCAGAGATGGTTGTAATGTGAAAGGATATTTTGTCTGGTCACTACTGGATAACTGGGAGTGGGCAGCTGGATACTCTTCTAGATTTGGTTTGTATTTTGTTGATTACAAAGACAACCTGAAGAGATACCCCAAGCAATCCGTCGAATGGTTCAAGAACTTCTTGAAACCAACTAAATAGCCCCGAAAATATTAGTTTGTGTATGGAATCATAAATATTATATTTGATTGGATTGGATTTGATTTGATTTGAATTAATTTGATGTAGAAATCAATTTTCAAGTTTGAAACTTATTATAAAAATAATTTGTATATTAAATTTTGGAAAATATTATTCTCCTTTCACATAAGATAACTTGTCTCATATTCTCTCACCTCGATTTTTGTATCCCGTCTTTTTCTTTTTTCTTTTTTCTTATAATGATGAGATCCACTCATTTTTTCTCAACAACATATGATAACTATCTTATGTGAAAGGAGACTAATAAAGCTCTTAAATTTTACTTCACTAATATCATATTGACATTAATAGGACACCGCATGAATAATCTTCAAAAAGTTTTATGTGTCAATTCCGTATTTGCATGTTGGCACATAACACTATATGAGAATTTTCGTGTTATTAATTATTATTAACAAACGTGACACAAATTTAAAAATTAATTAATCAATCCAAACACGTATTACGTTGAAAATTGTCATCCCAACCTCCGCATGAACAAACAATACCCGTTGTCGGTGGTTGACAAAGATTTCCTTATCTTTACTTCTGTACGAAATTATAAAACCACCGCCGCTCAATCAATTAATTTTTTTGGTAAATAATCAATTAATTAAATTACGCAAAAGAAATAATTAATAACCTACAAAAAAAAGAATTTCTAATTAATTTTTTCGTGCATATTCGGAAAGGGCATTTTAATTTTACTTAAGTGCTGTAATTATGATGATGTAAAAAGTCAAATACACCAACCTTTTTGAAGGTATAATTAAATGATAATTATTTCTAGCTTTGAATATCATAATTAAGTTATTTCCTATGCTCCGCATTACAAAATATAAATCATTTAAAATAATCAGAAAAGGATTTAGAAAGTTATTAAGTATCACCCAATAGCAAAATATAATTATATTTAATTAAATTATCATTTATTTAAACACTCAAAATATTAAGATTCGATTAATATTTTAGCCTATTTAATTCAATAAAAATAAAATATAAAGACAAAATTAAACAAATGAAACCTAGTTGATTTTAAAATTGCGGATAAATTGAACGTAAATACTTTTTTCTTTTCTTCAAATCGACACATTTTAAAATGGAGGGAGTATTTAATGTCACATTTTCGATCTTGCTAGTCGACACCAACGAAGCACGGACACGGCAGTTTTTAGAAAAATTATGTGTCCGACACGGACATATTCCGACACGCGTTCGACACGCGATCAATATTTTAGGACACGTTGACTATTCCGACACGCGAATTTGACCGAATCCGACACGGTCAAAGGGTAGAAATGTAAATTTTTAAAAAAATTTATAAAATTTAAAATAATTCTAAAATAAAAAAAACCGGATAGACACAAACACATGCACACAGCTCCGTCGCCGTCTGCTTCAATCTTCTTCCTCACGTTGTTCTTCGTCGTTCTTGTTGACAAAACCTTTGTTGGAGACCAGAGATAACGATGGTAGGGGATTTGGAATGCATGGTGCAGAATGGGTGCCTAGAATAGTAACCTTTGGCATCACTCAAAAGTCTGCACCATTGACACCTAGGTGGTTGAGTCGGTTGAATCGAAACACCTCTTCCTTTCTTTGGACCGGAGGTGGCAGGAGTAGCTAAATTTCAAGCCATTGAGGGACTTAGAAGATGAGTTGGGCGGAGAGGAGGGTAATGGTTTTTTATTAGCTTCTAAACCCATTAACTCAAGTAAGTGGTGGCTAGACTCCATTCTTTGTGATTGAGAAGAGAAATGAGAAGGGTGTGTATGAGTATGACTATGAAAGAGAAAGAGATTGTTGAACAAAGAAATGGCAGTGAGAGAGGAAAGTGGAAGACAAAAGGAGGGTAACGTGTAGAAACAAAACACCCCCATCTGTTCTCTCTCTTTCAGTCTAAAACCAAAAAAAATGGGATATTAAACCAAAAAAATGGGATATTAAAAAAAATCCAAAAATAATAGAAATAAAGTGTCAACCACAAGAGAGATTGTACCACTTTTTATGTTTTTATATTTTCTTGTGTCTTATGATGAGTGTATTAAATATATACTATATTATATATATATATATATATATATATATATTAAATTATTATTTAATATTAAAACATGTCCTAACGTGTCGAAATTTAACATTTTTTTGAAATTAACGTGTCGGCGTGTCGTATCGTGTCGTGTCCCGTGTCCCATGTCGGTGTCTGTGCATCATTGGTCGACACTAGTTTCTCCCTTCTACCTTGTTGATTATTTCTTTTTAAAGAAAATATTGAAATAAACCCCTATTTATTATAATAATTTGTGCAGTTGACATTACTCTTCACACGTGCTAAATTTTAATTTATGTAATTAGATGTGTCTTAATATGTTAATCAATAGCATATTGTCATGAGTTTTTTTTTTTTTATTGAGATATGATATTATGTTTATTACTTCTTTTCAATACCGTTAGATTATAATTTCAACTAACTTTTGTTGATATTATAATCTAGATATTGGAGAGAAGTAGGTAAATTAGTTATGAAAAAATATAGACAAAATATTATATCTATAAGACCCCGTTCTAGAACCGATTTGTTAACATTGTTTTATGATTTAAGCACATTTACAATCACATTGGTTCAATTAGAAACACAGATACATTTTTTCCTCTCTAAAACTTTGCTTATTTTCCTTACACACAATCCAAATTTAAAATAACCAATTACGTGATTATAACCATGTGAAGTTGCGGAATAACTAAGACTATGCTTAACATCATAAACTTTCTTTATTAGACCTAATTAGATGGTCCCTATTACTTATTTCAAGAGATAATTATTTTTCTTAAAACTGAGGTTGGGCACTTAAGCCCCCTTACTGGGCGCTTAAGCCCCCTCGGGCAGAGGATTTTTAAGTTTCTGTTCAAAGAGAGAGCTTAAGTCCCCTGTGCCCGCTTAAGCCCCCACCGACCGAGAATTTTTTCCTGCACAGGTCCTCCAGGGCGCTTAAGCCTCAGGTTGCTTAAGCCTCCTTTTTGGGGTGCTTAAGCTCCCTCCACCTGTGCAAAACACAAATTCCTCTATTTCCCTTTATTTCACTTGGGAAATTAACTCCCCCCATTCTCTAACTTCTTGGTACCTAATTGACAAGAGGTAGCCAATCATGGCCACACACCATATGGCTCTACATCTCACATGCAATTCACCAACTTATCATTCAACTCAAAATGAGAAAACATACTTCACATTCCATCAATGTTATAATGAATCATTTACGACAATATTCTTCAAGATAATTACAAGCCAAAGGACTTAGATACAATAGGGACATGATCAAAGCTATAAGCTATATACAACGAAGCATTCACCACCACAATGATCATACACTAAGTCCTCCTAAATACATCATAAAATATACATATATATATGCGGTAATGTGAATGACATATACATCTACAATACTAGATGAGATGCAATCCATAATGATAGGCTATCAGCATATGACATCTAGCTCAAATACGGCCACTTGCCACCAGAGGCTCCTGCAACATTTGTACCTGAAAAGGAGTCCCCACAATACGGGATGAGATATACGAATTTACCTCAGTAAAGCAGGGGTCCTTGGAGCATCTCTCCATCCCATAGTTCACTCACAGTATAATAGCAATAACAGTAAATAATGCAGTAAATACATATTCATGCAGTGTGTCAAACATCTCAAAGAGACATCCCTCGAGCTCTCATGTTGTCCTAAGGATACTTAGATATATATAGTCCTACTGATCAGTGAATCTACCAAGTATGAATGACGTATTGTCATGCAATATACAAAACATAGGGAAACACCATCATATGCCACACCCAGTGCATACACATACGTATATCGAAGCATTAAACTACTTCATTCAATTTACATACACTATCAACAACCACTACCTATTATGGGTTTGGTGGAACAATAAAGGGACCAATTCCCAATGTCCAAAGACTTACATCAATGCTTCCAATTCAACCTTTGTTCACCAACAAGTTTGCAACCAATCAAACTTTGAATTCAAGCTACAATATTACAAAATACACACCTACGCAAAGGTGTCACACAATCAATCAATACAAGTTAATGAATATCAACATTTTCATCAACAATACTATAATTTCATACCACAACTTGGCATGAACTTACCTATTCAAGTAGGCTACTCAAGCTCTATGTCTTCCACCAATGGTTGGTCACTCAATGTTGGTCCACTTGCTTCAATCCTATCAATCACATAGACACAATCAATATCAACATTCAACACTCCAATATCGAACATTTGGAATGCAAAAATACACTACACAAAAGTACCCATTTTTTAAGAATGCCATAGCCTATCCAATTGATGATCTCAACTCATTTCTACCGATTATTCATCATTCTTAACAACATTTACAAAAGGCTTAAGTCTTAATCAAGCTCAAACTACCCAAACTCAAGCCACATTTTTATTTTGGAACCCTAACATACCCAACATCTTAGAATGCAATGAAACTGAGATTTCTAAACATCAACTCACCCAAAATCATGTAAGGAAAGGATTGCAAGCCTCCAAGCAAAGCAAATAACTTTCCAAGCTCCTCAATCACAAGTGGGTTGCCACTTTCACCATAATTTTTCTCCCAATACAACATTTTTTTGGTAGATTATGGATTAGGGGTTGTGTTCGCCTCTCAATTCTAAGCGAGATTAGTCTAAGAACCAAGTGATTTGGTTAAGAAACAATAAATTTAGGTTTTGAGCTCCTTTGTCAATGGATTCTCAGTCCTCTCCCTTTCTAGCGAAGAAGATGAGCAAATGAGAGGTGTTATAGTGGTTTTAACACTTACATAGGTAAGTAACTTTCAATTGGATACAAATTTATCTATCTATTCACTTCCAAACTTTACCTTATGGTCTAAAATATTTTTCTAGGAACATTTCTAATTTTACTTTTAAATTTTGGGTACTTTCATTTTTTT